CCACAAAATTGGTTTATAAGGTGAAGTTTGTATTCATTTATATATTATAAATTGGTCTTATCACTAGTCGGTGAGACTTCCAACATATCCTCTCTCATGTTGAGGTATATGCATCTCGAGCGTGGAATTAGAAATTAATAGATGGTCCAATAGTGGGTGGAACAATATGTCTAACAAATAATAAATTTTGCTAGGATAGACTCTAAATATGTCAAACAAATAACAAATAACAAATTTTGTTAGGATAGACTCTAACCAAACTCTGATACTATGTTGAGAAATGAACTTTAAATATAATTATATTGATGCTGCCGGTGAAGCTATATTAATATTTTTTTTTCCTTTTATTAAATGCAAACCCAACTATGTGGTTTTTCCTTAATATTTCTCTAGTTTTGTGTCTAAGGTTTCTTATATTCATTGTTTGTGTTGACTGTTCAGTTATGCAGTTATTCCTTAGAGGCTTAACTTGCATAGCACAGTACTTTTATTTTGTTACACTTTTTTTTTGGACTTATTTTTATTAGTTATGCCTTGGATTAATAATGATTGTCTGGCCAAACCTACGACTTTCAATTCTAATGATGAATATATCTTAAGTTTTGAGCACCCATTTTGTCTGTATCTGCTCTCTTGGTATAATGGCCTTCTACTACACCGCTACTTCTTTTGGGGTTGATCGTTATGCCTTATGGTCTAGGATTAGGCACACTGGATCGTACTCTGGTATCATTCCGTTATGTAAAATAGCTTACATTCCAGAGGTATTAGAGAATGACTGCTGCAATCTTTTCTTTGTCTGTATATGTACGCATATATTACTGTCTCAAGGTATGAACTCCAATTGTTAATAATGAATTCATAAAGTGCCCGGGTCATTTATTTTTGGGGTCGATTACAGCTGGTGCAGGCATAATTCCTAATTCTTTAAGCCATAAATTTCCTCCCCGGTGCTTTTTATGACAAGCAATATCTTTTATCTGTAAATAAAACTTAATGTATATTCAGCTGCTCAATGATATAAAATATGAATTGTTTTATTAATAAATATACACTTCTATTCATCTTTTAAGGGTAAGAGAAAGAAATGTTGCTATATATTTGTGCCTAGACTCCCAAAATCTTGATTTGGTGATTTTAGACCTCTCATTCATCTCTATTCTCTGGGTAAGTTCTGAAATATTGTCAAACATAGTCCTACACTCCTATCACAAGTAAAATATTTCAGATTATCAGAAAAGTTTATGATCACGATCTTGTCTCCTATGTCTATTGATTATTAAGTGCTCGGTCATCCTTTGTAAGCAACCACAGAAGAGTAAGAGGAGACATTGGAGATTATTTTCGCTGAACTGAGAATTACTGGTATGATTAGCCTTCTTGATTCACTGCATCTTTTTTATTTCTTTTATTCTTTTAATAGTTCATGCCTGCTGTGGTCAATATCATGAAGGAAAATGCAGCATTAGTGACTTTGATTAAGCCACAATTTGAAGCTCGTAGATTTCAAGTGAGGAATACAAACTCCTATTATATAATTTTGTTGTTTGTTTTGATATTGTCGGCAATAATAATGTGCATTTAAATATGCTCTACATGATTAATATGATATGGAAGAAGTTTAGGTAAACTAGGTGAAATATTACAAATGCACCTTTACATTTTCTTCTCTGGCATTTTCCTTTCTTTCATCTTGGTTTATTGAGACATTGCGTACATATATTTGGTGAACCCGATGTGCCCCTTGGACTAGATCAGTTTCATAAGCTAAATCTGAGGGAATTGGGTAGTAGTAGGGAGTTTATCTGTAATAATACTACGTAATCTTTGGTTGTAGAGGAAGGTTAGACATCTAAAGTGAATATGTTTCTCCAAAGATTGTCAAGGGATGGCCTCTTTTGCTCTCAGCTCATGGATTTTGTTAGGGATATCCAATGATTTATTTTCAAATAAATCGCTAAGATACACACTTTTCTAATTTCAAAACATGTCACCAATGCGATTTTTAAATGTTAACTTTGCTGCATAGATTTTGTCAGTCAATTTAATGCGTGAAAAGACAATTTTTATCCCAATGTCTCCGATGAAAATAACAATTGTATATTTATCGTGTTTTGTGCAAGTGGGATTATACTCATTATAGTTTTGTATTAAATAATCATCATTGTTTCCCCTTGTAAATAAAGAAGAGAAAAGTACTATCTCTAACCTTTGAATATCATATTCTGTTCAGGTAAGAAAAAGAGGGATAGTGAAAGATCCTATTGTCCATCAAGAGGTGCGGGAAATTTTGCTATCTGATCAGATTGTTTATTCTCTATATTACTCAAAATCTAATATAATTAGTAGAAATAGAACTATTTGAAGACAAGTGTGGAACCAAACGGTTAAACACAATGCTTTATAATGTCCTATTCGTATTTTATCTCCTTCTAACATAATCTATTTCAAAATAGCTGTAAGTTAAAACAAGATATAACTCCTTGTATGGAACAGAGTAGTCTTTACAGATAGCAATATCCTCTCTATGGATTTTTGACTTTCTGCTTATGGCTTTACTAGTGAAGCTCTGCAATTGTTCTACGAAGGGATTGGAGAACTCCAAGTCTGAGCTAATTGTACGATTTCCTCTGCGTAAATAAAACAACACAATATTGTCAAGGTGGAGCTTGAAAAGAGATTGCCGAAAACAATACTCAGCGAGGATTTATGGGGTTGGTTGATCAAACTTGCACTTAAATTGCTCGTAACATTAGCAACGTTAGCATCAAACAATACTTAACTATAAAAGACATAATAGCAATGGACAAGTTATGCATAATTTGAGTTGAATTTGCTGCATATTATATACAGCTGTATTGAATAGGTATAACACTATTTGAATATTATATTTAGGTATATTTTTACTTGGCTAGAATCAATCACATGACATTTTATTGGATGAATTTTCTAGGTTCCCCATGAAATTACCCACATATTAATCCGGTATTAATCTGTAGATAACTTATCCACGAAATTATAATAAAATCTTTATACTTAAAAGGAGTCAAATTAATAATTGAAATTTGTTTGACATATTATTATTTGCTGCTAGTGCTATTGAGAGATATAGTAACTAGTAGGAGACTAAAATGACAATAATTTCTATTCTTTTATGGCATTCGCCTAATATCAAAATCTATATTATGATAAAAAAAATTCAATTTTAAGAACTATAGTAATTTAATTTAATTAAAAATATTTTCTGTGGACTTATTTTTGTGTGATAATGACCTAGTCCACAGACTTAAGATCGTATTACTCATTCTAGTTGAGTGTTAGTGGACTAAAATCATCAGATAAAATATTGGGCGGGCATAATTTATTTGGCAGTCTTAAACACAATCAATATTACAAAATTACTAATGTATTTTACTAATTTGCTAAGCAGAATTAGGAAATCTGTGGAAATAATATACCTTATATGCTTTTGGTAACGGAAGATTAGTTTTTGTGGGACTGTTGAATGATGTCTTGGATTAGCTGGGTCACATTGAAGTGAGAGGAGCCTCCTTCTACAGCTGTCTTAGCCATCTCTGCAAGCCCTGTGGCCCTTTTTCTTCTCTCTTCCCTTTCACTTCCCTCATCCATTAACTTCTCTATAGCCCTCACTACATCTTCCTTCTTCACCAATACCCCAGTTTTCTCTTCATCACCCCAGAGCACCGGAGTTTCCACCCCAACGCGTACACCAATTCTTATAATGTTCACAACAAACCTCTCATTGAAGAATTGGTCCCCAAACAATGGCCACGTAAGCATTGGCACGCCAGCGGATATTGCTTCTAGGGTTGAGTTCCAACCGCAGTGTGTCATGAACCCTCCAATCGCAGGGTGTGATAGTATTAGTACCTGAGGAGACCAACCCAGTAGCATTAGACCTACCCCCTTGGTCCTTTCCTCAAACCCTGATTCCTTAATCCACTTCATCAACTCTTCTGTTTGATTCCTTTCCCTGATGACCCAAATGAACGGTATTTTGGATGCTTCTAAGGCCATACCAAGCTCTATCAACTGCAACGGAGATAAATTGCATATGCTCCCAAGGCACACGTAAATGACTGAATTTGGTTTTTGCAAGTCAAGCCACTTCATGCAACTATGAGCATCACTTGATGTGTTGTTGCTGTTCCCTCTCTGAGCCTTATCCAAGTCATTCCTGTTTCTAAGTGAAACGGGCCCAACAAACCACACTTTATTGTTTCTGGCCTTCTTGAAATCCCCTGCATATGCTTGTTCCAACTCCTCAAAAGAATTCACGACCACCCCATAAGTAACCGCTTCAGCTGCGGCCATCTTTTCAACAAACTCACTCCAGTTTTCGTGCATAGGTCTTGCCGTCTGTGCTTTTGTGATCTCAACTTTGTCAGGGATGTCAGGTATGGAAAAGTACTCTGAATCTGTGGCTATGGTATCAAAAACTTTAGAAGTGACCAACTTTTGCTGCCACCAGAGACAGAAACCACTAACGCCGTAGAAAGATATTCTGGGGACGTTGAATTTGGTGGCGATGTCGGCTGTGTATGTTAAACCCACGTCAGAGATTATGCAGTTTGGTTTCGGTGTCAACTGTTCAAACACTTTCTCAGCCGGTTCGTGTAGCATGGTGTTTGCGGCAAGGAAGAAATTCAAACCCATGCCCATAGAAGGCAGCATGTCAAAATTCTCACACCCTTCTGGAAATCCAGCATCGTGGGATGGAAATTCGAGTGGAACCAGTCGGAGGTTGAGGCCTGAGTCGGAAGCACGGGAAAAGGTTTCTGATAAACGAGAAGCGTTATGTACGGTGGTGACTACAGTAACAATCACGTTATTCTGTGCCAATATTGTTGCTAGGTCTGTCATTGGGAGCAAGTGGCCTGGGGACATGAGAGGAAACAGAACGAAGTGAGACTGAGATTCTTGGGATGCCATTTGGATTTGAATTGGTCGAATGCAAAAGCTGAAATTCACTTGTTTATAATCTCTTAGACACTTGTTTTAAAAAGCATCTCATGGCTATTTTCTGTGGCGGCACAGCTTCCGATGGCGAAGACTTGCAAGAATTGCAAGTCAACACGTCTTTAGTGTTCATTACCAATTATAAGCTTTTCTTCAACAACTCTGCATACAACATTTTCTCAAATTGTCCAGGTGACACCTTTTTATTGGTGTATTTGAAATTTTTTTAAAAAGTATTTGAAATGGACCAATACATTTTTGACATATATTCATTATAAAAAAATGGTTAAATTTTAGTTATTAACATATCATAAAAGGTTCTCAGCTAACGAACGAGATCGGAGCCTTAAGAACATGACTCGTACGTGGGCTGAACATGATTAACTAAACTATACTAAATTATGGATTATCTATACTATTTTGTACTATAAAAATTAAACTACTTTTTACAAAAACTGAATTATACTTATTATAGTTACGTTCAAAAAATTGAACTTCTTTTATTAACAGTTTAGTTAACTACTTCAAACTATGTACTTTATTTTACTTTTGTTGTTTAATTGTTTTACTTTTCTTCTATTTCACAACAAATAAACATAAGAAAAAAGGCACGAAATGCAGTATACTAATATATATATATATATATATATATATATATATATATATAGAATTTAGATTTTAATTATTGTTTTCTGTGATGACATGAGACAATTGTTTTTACGTACTTTTATATATAAATATATATAGATAAATAAATAAATGTTCCTTTTCAAGTCTCTAAAAGTTAACTATTATTATAATAATTATTAAAATAAAATGATATTATTAAATTTATACTAAAATAATTATATATTTAAAAAAACTAAATTTTATTTATTGTAATTATATTTCAAAAACTAGTAAATTTTATAACTTAATAAAATTAACTATAATTGTAAAAATAAAAAGATAAAAGTACTAGTTAAATAATTATAAAATATAATATATATATATATATATATATATATATATATGAGAATTCAGAAAAGGTGAGAGAGAAAGATGAGAATTTTTATATTAAAACTGATAATTGTCAAATAAAAAATATTTCGACAAACAGAGATAACAGAAATATTAGAGATTAAGTTTTTAATCATATAAAATAATATATAAACAAATTTATATTATAAATTAAACTATATTTAATATGAGAATCAAATTTTAGACATTTTAATTTTTAAATTAATAATAAATAGTAATGATAAATAATTATAGTTATTAATTTAATTTTAATAATATGATAAATAGTCCAATAATATTCATTAATTTTTTTAAATTTTTATTATAATTATTTACTATTCTAATTATATAGATTTATAATTTAATTTTTTAAATGTTGTGATGTTATTGAATATTAATTTATTTGTTTGTAATTATTAAAAAAAATCAAATTAAACTAATTCTTTTAACTCTATCGATGATTAGCTATTGACAGTTGTACTAGTGCAAAATCACATTTATTTATTAGAAAAAGGTGCATTGTAGTTAACTGAATTGTTTTGTAAGTTAACTGAACTAAAAATAGTTTAGTTCAGTTTTTTTGAACTATTTTCTAGTGCAGTTCAGTTTTTTTAAACTATTTTATAGTTAATTGTAATAGATTTATAGTGCAGTGCAAATAATGCAGTTTGCCCACCTCTACTCGTACATTACACAAAGAATTTGAGTTTCTTGTTAATGTAAAGAGTTATCGACAAACAATTTATAAATACTCCTAGGTGTTTATTTTAAGTTTTTGAGTTTGGAGGCTGGTTCAATCCAGCTGGATTCGCTTAAACGTCTATCTTATATAGATAAAAAAATTAATTATCAATTAGACCAGTAGGGGAACTACTAAGAAGAGAGAGAACAAAAACATAGGCAATGACAATAAATAGTAGGAAAAACATTTTGCTCCAGCTTGTTAAAAAGAGTTTACTATCTTTTTATTTCCCACTCTTTTTCATATTTTAGTTTTTAGTCTTTAATAAAAAATTTGATCTTATTTTTTGAATTTCTTATTTTCTTAAATAACAATGTTAGCGAATAAACAAACGACAACATTGATAACCTAGTGCTCATGTCATTACTATTTATGCATATGACGGAATGACATGTTGGTCTATAAACCAGTGAAAAAAAATAAAATAATAATGAGAACTAAACTACTCGTTAACTATAACATCACTATAAGTTATGAGTTAAAGTAAACAGTAAATATATTATTATTTTAAAATTACAGCTGCCCTATTCCTTTATATTAATAAATGACTAAACAAATTATCAAAGTTGTTTTTTATTTGTCTATAAAATAGGTTTATTTGGTAATTTATATGTATATTTAAATTTATGATTATTTTAATTTATTTTTGCTCAATTAAGTTTTAATATTTTTTATTTAATTGAGTTTTAATATTTATTAAATATAATTAATATGAATTTTTCTTTTATTAGACATAATGTTGTTTAAAAAATATCATATATTAAAATTTGAGTATTTTGATTATATATTAAATTTATATTAAAATTTGAGATTAAATATGTATTCACCGAACCAACAACCATCGAACCAGTAGCCCCTCTGGTCGGCCAAAGGCATCTCTGGCAACGTCGCTCGTCGACAAACTCATCGCCACCGACCGTGAAAGTCCTCCTTTTATGTCTTCTTCTTGTGCGCGAGAGAAACACCCTTACTCAACGGGATGCATTCTCCCGGCCACCGACGAGGCCAGCCGCCGCCGGTGCCTCCGCAGCGATCTTGGCCATAATCGACACCGCAGAACACTTGGAAGTGAACACTGTGACCGTCTTCTGCTTGGTCTCGAACAGGCCGGAGAGATCAAAGCCCGATGACATGGAGGAGATGAACTCGCCGGAGAGATCACAGGTTTTTCTTCGATTTACGTGTTTTATTGATTGGCGGCGATGTTGTGCGACAACTGAATTCAGTAACGCGGAGTGTGGTGGAAGAGTTTCTCGTTTTGCCGGTGTCTATGGCGGTTCTTGGCGCGATGCCGATTTTCTGTCCTGCGCACAAAAACACCTAGGCTTGATGACACAAGGTCAAAATTAAAGCCTAAACAAAACTGGCATTCTCACAAGTAAATTTTTCAAAATGGGGTTTGTCGGGTGCTCAGAGTAGTTCACGGATTCTTGCTGAGTGTTGAGGGCCCTCCTATAAACGAGTTTTCGGTTGTGTTCTGTACACAATCCACTGGCAAAGATGGAGGGGTGTTTTGGGATTTCGTTCCCTAAGAACCCTACATACATATAGGTGGATGATTTTTTTAATGAAGAGTGATTCTGGTCTTTATTAAGGATATGGCAGATGTGGGAGAGATATATAACTATAAGTACAAGAATCTTGTGAGTAGGGTGGTCCAAAGTTGCTGCTACTGCTTACTGCATGCACTCTTTGTACAAGGATGCAAAGACCACTCAATTTTTCCGTCCCAGACTCAACTTTAGGTGCTCACAGAAAAGGGAACATAAAGAGCAGCTGAGAGATGAAGCATCTGTTACCCCCATAAACAATTTTAACTAATTGGAGTACAAGCTGTTCAGAGGTGGGTGTCATTCTGCCATCCGTCTCTAATGCTGGCTTGGTTGGAATGGGGTATGGGAACGTGACTTCGGGAGGTGGCGGTGCTGCTGCGACGTTGTGTGTGTGGCCTGCTATGCCAATTCACAATCACAATCCCTCTGTGAGTTTGTTCATGTCTGTGGTAGAGTCGGAGAGAGAGAATAAGGAAGAGGATTGAGGAAAGATTAACAGTTTCAGAAAAAAAAAAAAATTACGTTTCACACTCCGTTAGGCACGTCAGTTTTTTTTTAATGCCGTTAATTTTGAAAGACCAAAATTAAGCTTTTCTTGAGAGGGGACTAAAGCGTAACTTGTTTGGTTTGAAAGAGAGATTAAAAACAAATTTAATTTAAGAAATAAAAACATATTTAACTCTACAATTTCAGTATTTTTTATTTTGAAATGTGTCATATATCAAATTCATGAGTTTCAAAATAAAAAATTGAGATACCATCCCAATCAATTGATCATTTAAACTGATTAAGAATGTAACTAAAAACTAAACAAATTTGAAAAAATAAAGAAAAAATATCTTAAACCCTTAGCACGTTTCCAATCCTGCGAGTCCTGAGCCATTTCGTTAGGTAACTGTGCCTTGGAGAATTCAATGGTGTCAGGGAAGTCCGGCACTGCGAATGACTGACATTGAGGTGACATTTTCATGCACTTGGTAATGTTGTGCGAGCACAAGAGGGCGAAGCATGAGATTCCGTGGAAGACAACTCTCGGTATCTTGAACTTTGATTCAACAACATAGGCAATGGAGTCTTGCACTGCCTTTGAACTGTCCAAGGTACGCAGAAGTCGGAAACATGCAAGTGGGTAGTGTTTCCAACTCTGAAAGCCATTTCTCGATGGCTCTTTCAGCTTATTAGAAGCGGCGAAAAACAATTATTGGTATTGAGGGGAAGGGAGGGTGTCCGTATTTTCACGACCTTCTTGCAACCCTGCTTCTTTGGAAGGAAAGTGTAGCAAGTGAAACTGGATTTGGAGGTTTAAGGCTTTTGCTTGATCAATGACATTGTTTAACTTTGCTGCATTGAGGGGTGTAAGGAAAATAGTGACAGAAACGCCATTGACTGCGAGTAATTTGACCTTTTGTGTAAAGGGAATGAGATGGCTTTGGGACATTAAGGGAACAAGAACAGAGTGTTGCTGATGAGTTTGGGAATCCATGGAGTGAAGGGCAATATAATGGTCGTGATAAACGATATACGAGAATAAAATGCCACAGAGAAAGGAAGGTGGCAATCTTTGTCTTCTCTGAAATTTGGTGTTCTGCTACTACCTTTGCACTTCCAACTCTTTCTTCGGATAGATATAGATAATGATATGTTGGTTTTACCAAACTATATTACATGTTGCTCTTCTTTTTTTATTCAACTGAAAAGCTTTTATCTTTCATCTGGATGGTCCATGAACTCTTTTGAAAGATTCAGTGGACTTCATGCTAAATGCTTCAAACTATCTTCTCAAATTCGAAACCTGGATCTTCTTTGTTTTATTTAACTTGTCACAAGTTTTCTTGACAGTTTTTAAAGTAATGATGATAAAAATATTATCATATAAAGTTTTTTGTACAATAACAAGTGTTTTTGTTATTATGGCTTTTGAGTTGTGTTGTGCTACTCTTGAATTTTGAAGTAATGGAGTTTGAATTGAACTGTCTTTAACTACCTTTGAACTCTGAAGTATGCCCTTATTTTGACAACCTATAGATGATAGTTCTCCATAGAAAAAAATAATATGAAGTGAAAGTTATGAACTATTATTGGAAGTTTGAAGAATTTGTGTAATTTTTCTCCAAAACTTTCCACTTCTTTTTTCATCAAAGAGCATAAAATACAAATAAAGAAAGTAATTATCACAAACTTAAGTAGACTACGGAAATTATCATAAGTATTCATTTTAATTTAAAAAAAAAAGCAACAAAAAAGGAACCTCAAAAAGCGTTAGACAAAAACATCTCAAATTCTAGTAAATAAACCTAATAATTGATCTAATGCATTTTGAAACTTGCTATGTCTTGAATTAGGAGAGACATATTGTTGTAAGACGAACCACCTTCTTCCACTGTTTTCTTTGCCATGTTCGCATAGTTTCTGGCTCTTTCCATAAACACTTGTTTTTCTTTGCCTTCACCAATTAGCTTCTCAATAGAATCTGCAACATTTTCTTTTGTCACCTGAACTCGAGCCTCATCTTCCTGTCCTAAGTGCACAACAGATTGAGCTCCTAAACTTACCCCATTCTCCACCACTTGTACAACAATCTTCTCATTCAGAAACTGCTCAGAAAACAAAGGAAAAGTCACCAACGGAACCCCAGCACAGATCCCTTCAAGCGTGGAATTCCATCCACAATGTGTCAAGAACGCTCCTATTGCTCTATGTGACAATATCAACACTTGTGGCACCCAACCCTTTATCAGAATCCCTCTCCCTTTCACCCTCTCTTCAAACCCATCTTCCAACAGCCACTTCTCAATTTCCTCTCTTCCATATCCACCTCTAAGCACCCAAATGAATGGCCTTTTCGTTGCTTCCAATCCTAACCCCAATTCTATCAATTGCTCAGGAGTTGCACGGTTCAGGCTACCAAGGCACACATAAATCACAGACCTTGCAGGCCATGAATCAAGCCACTTCATATACCTATTTTCATCACTCGAGTTTCTCTTATTTCTCAGAGCCTTCTCCTTGTCATCCTTATTGCACAGCGACACAGGTCCTACACAACATACCTTATGCCCCGTAACCCTTTCATACTCTTTCACATATTCAGCTTCCAACTCTTCAAAACTGTTAACCACAATCCCATATGCCTTTTTTGCAGCTTTTCTTGTCGCCTCACGACAAGCTTGCAGCTTCACGTCTTTGCCGGGATGGAATAATCCGGGGAGTTGAGACCTTCGCAATTCGATTCTGTGGGGCATTCCAGGCACAAGAAATTTCTCATCATAAGACAAGTCTTCATGGACCTTTTCCTTGTTCAAAATGTAGCAGCATAGGAGATAGAAAAAATTTGATGCCTCGAATATTATTCTTGGGACGTTGAACTTGTCAGCAACATCAGCCATACACACGAAATTCTTGTCGGCAATTATGCAGCTTGGAAAGGGCCTTTGGTTTTGAAGAAGCTCTTCTATTGGTCGCTGCATCAAGTTCATGGCGACAGTGAAATTGGATAGGAGATCCATTGAAGGAAGAATGTCTGCGCTCTCACACCCCTCTGGTAATCCAGCTTGAGCCCATGGAAACTGAACATGCAGAATCTGGATGGGTGAGCCAGATTGAATCTCTCTGTCTATGCTAGCTTGGAAGTGGATGGAGTTGAGGGGTGTGGTGATTATGCTCACTTTCACTTTGCGTCGTGCCAACATTTTGGCCATGTCCACCATGGGAAGAAGATGACCCGGGGTCATTATTGGGATGAACACAAAGTGGAGATTGCAAGGGGAAGTTGAATCCATTAATTGCAAGCTTCTGTGTTGTGGGAGTTTCTGAGAAAATTCTTGCTATTTCTCTGCTCTCCAACTCTTTTTCTTTATGAGTATTCAATTTGTTCATCAAGGGGTTAATATTTTGTGTCTGTGCTCACTCTTTCTTTCAGATCCAAATCCAATTACATATTTTGTTTTTATTGATAACCAAATACTCGTTGTAAGGCATGCATATGGTATGAATTCTAAGGAAGACGCGAACCGAGTTGAACCACCTAAATTGAGACACGATTTTGTGTTTATAGACAAATCATAAATGACACTTGTTACTTTCCAAAATGCAACAGTGAAAGAGTTTGGTGTTTTTCATTCACGTGATTTGGACAACAAATTTCCACCTGGTTTTTCGTCGCCACTGGTTAACGAGGCAGAGTTTGAGTTGGTGTGGTTCACTGGAAGGGTGATTCTTCATCATTTGGTGTACAGTAATAATTCACTAATTTTCCTTTTTATTTTTGGCAAGATAAAAAATGAAAAATCCTATTAAACTTTAAAAAAGAAAACAATGGCTGAAAAATATCAAAGTATGAAAGAAACTGTATGAACATCCGTGACAAAAACATCAAATCAACAATGTCTAATCTTGGTGAAAAAGATGATGTCTACACTCAACTGAAATTCAATTGATGAATCACTAACGAAGTTATATAAGAGAAAAGAAAATAAAAAATTCAAATTTTAATTCTATTTTATATAAAATATGAAATTATCTAATTTTAAATAGTATATTATCCTTATAAATACATGTATTTTTTTTTTAAATTTTCTACCAAATAAAACTTTATATCATAAATTATTTTAAGTTTTTTATTAAAATAAATTATCCATTGAATTTCTCATAAGAAGAATTGCGCGTAAATCCTTTGAATATCTAGTTTTTCCTTGTCACGGAAAAGGATTTTTACAAGCATTCATTATGATTGTAGCTGAAATTTTGGGTACACTTGCATCATTACATTTTTTTTTTAATAATTCAACCCTTAACAAACAATATCCTGAACTCACAGACAGTTTATATTGCATCGAAAGATATAATAATTGCCACTAAAAATATCTTTGAATGTAGGATTTAACTAGTTAATTAATTGCATTTTCCTAAAAAACAGTTATCTTTGAATGTTGTAAAGACTTAACTAATCTCCTTAATATATCCTGAGATGAGAATGTGTGAATAATTAATTCTTTAAGAGAATTCAGAATACATTATTTCATTCCATGATATATTATTTCAACATGTCTTTTATCTTATATAAGGGTACAGAGTAAGATGCAAAATTAATAAGTAAATAATGAAGATGATTAAATAATTATATATATATATATATATATATATATATATATATTTAAATAAATGCTATTACAATTACTTTATTAAAATATTTTTATCACTCTTTTATCATGTTTAATTTTTATATTGATTTTATAGTATTTTTTAAAACTTAAAGTAAATATTAACTAATTTTAAAAAAATTAGTAAAAATCATTTCATAATTAAAGGTAATCCGTTATATCTCTACCATGTAATTTATTTTTACTCTTTTCTAATTTGATCATTCATGATTGAGAATAAATAAGATAAATTTATAAATCATAGACATGTTAGTTTTTTTTAATCATCAGTAGAGTATTTTTAACTTCTCTTCCACGCATTGTTCAACACCGATGGAAATCCTACAAGGTTATGGGACACTTAAATTAATAATTAGTTAGAACTGATTAGTCAAATTTCAATTAATGGAAAAAGTGAATCATAAATTAAAATTAATATTCTATTTATAGTGTTTTATCTTTTTTTATCAAAAGTTCAACTGGATGGACCGTACTTTTCTGGGTCCATCAGTCTTGAAATCCTACTAGTCCAATTATCTGCTGAGGTCTAACAATGAATTTTAGTCATTTAATCATCCTCCACGCTCTTAATTAAAAGATGCTCTTAATTAAAAGATGCTGGTACCAGTATTTAGATTGGAATACCAGTTCTCGATATATGCCAATAGGTTAAGGCTATATACCTTACCTCGAGAGGTCAAAAAGTCTTTAGTCCTATCCTATATCATGCCAAGATGATACAATTTTATTGTAAAAAATTTGTGTCAAAATAATACTAGTTCAAATTATTTTTAAAGTTGAAATCATACTAAATTGACACAACTTTAGTTTAATTTTAGTAAAAGTGATATTAGAATAAACGTTGTAAACTAAAGTTCTCACTTTGACACGAAATTCTTCAGGATCAAATTCTGTCACTCAATACTAAATTTTTTATAAGAATACCCTGCTTTAATAAAAGAGCCGAACCAACATGTTACATGTCTTTACCTTTCGTTCATCTCATCACTAAGATATCTTGGGTACCCTCCTCCTTTCTTTCCTAGCATATATTCAACCTTTAGCAGATCAAAGATCCATTTTTCGTGCTTCATTCGGACAAAGCTTAAGCAACAAAACACCCAATTTAAAAGTGCAATCTGAGTCTAGCATAACTCAAAATACTATAGGACATCTCTGAATATAATTTACTCTAGAAAAACATTTGGTGTTCCATTTTGTTGTGACATTTTCAAACGGATGATGTCTTGAATTAGCAGAGACATGTTGTTGTAAGATGAACCACCGTCTTGTATCGTTTTCCTTGCCATGTCTGCATACTTTCTTGCTCTTTCCCTTATCACTTCTTTTTCTTTTCCTTCACCCATTACATTCTCAATTGAATCCGTAACATTGTCCCTCGTCACCTCTACTCGAGCCTTGAATTCATCTCCCAAGCGCACAACAGTTTCAGCTCCTGCACTCACTCCAGTCTCCACCACCTGCACAACAACCTTCTCATTAAGAAACTGCTCAGCATACAGAGGATAAGTCACCAACGGAACCCCTGCACAGATCCCTTCAACCGTGGAATTCCATCCACAATGTGTCAAAAACGCTCCTATTGCTCTATGTGACAATATCAACACTTGTGGCACCCAACCCTTTATCAGAATCCCTCTCCCTTTCACCCTCTCTTCAAACCCATCTTCCAACAGCCATTTCTCTATTTCCTCTCTTCTATATGCACCTCTAAGAACCCAAATGAATGGCCTTTTTGTCGCTTCCAATCCCAGCCCCACTTCTATCAACTGCTCAGGCGTTGCACGGTTTTGGCTACCAAGGCACACATAAATCACAGACCTTGCAGGCCATGAATCAAGCCACTTCACATATCTACTCTCATCACTCCAGTTTCTCTTACTTCTCAGACCCTTCTCCGTGTCATCCTTATTGCACAGCGACACAGGTCCTACACACCATACCTTATGCCCCGTAACCCTTTCATACTCTTTCACATACTCTGCTTCCAACTCTTCAAAACTATTAACCACTATCCCATATGCCTTTTTCGCAGCTTCCCTTATTGCCTCACGGAAAGCTTGCAACCTCAAGTCCCTGCCAGGATAGAATAATCCGGGGAGTTGAGACCTTCGCAATTCGATCCTGTGGGGCATTCCAGGCACAAGAAATTTCTCATCATAAGATGCAGCTTCATGGACCTTGTTCTTGTTTAAACTGTGGCAGCACAGCAGATAGAAGCAACTGGTCCCGTCGAATATTATTCTAGGAACATTCAACTTGTCGGCAACACCAGCTGCGCACAAGAGATTTGTGTCGGCAATTATGCAGCTTGGAAATGGGCTTTGGTTTTGTAGAAGCTCTTCTATTGGACGCTGCAACAAGTTCAGAGCGACATTGAAGTTGTATAGGAGATCCATTGAAGGAAGAGTGTCTTGACTCTCACACCCCTCTGGTATTCCAGCCTCAGCCCATGGAAACGGAACATGAAGAATTTGGATGGGTGAGCCAGATTGAATCTCTCTGTCTATGCTATCTTGGAAGTGGATGGAATTGAGAGGTGTGGTGACTATGCTCACTTTCACTTTGCGTCGTGCCAACATTTTGGCCATGTCCACCATGGGAAGAAGATGACCCGGGGCCATTAACGGTATGAACACAAAGTGGAGGTTGCAGAGGGACGTTGAATCCATTATTTGCAAGCTTCTGTGTTGTGGGAGATTCAGAGAAAAATAACCTTTTAACAAATAACCATAGATGTTTGCTCACTGCAATACTAAGCTGAAAAGACTGCCGGCATATGACCATGTGCTACAGCCAAAACATCATCATGCAGTGTATATGAGCTAAAGAAATCGCATATTAAAGAGAGGGGTATAGGTTATGAGATATGAAATACGACAAAGGAAAAAAGTGAGGAGAAAGAAGTGTAGTGTTTTCAAATCTAGGGTTTGCAAGATGCGGCACACTTGAGGAGGAAGGGTTGCTTCATTTTTTTTTATTATTGAATGCTACAATTGAAAATATAAAAATAAAAGGAGGTGCAGGTTGAGACAAGTGAGATGCAGAGATAACCACTCCTATATATATCAACAGTTTAAAACATGGAACAACAATCAGAAATAGTGAGTAACATACCCATAACTTTAATTTATTTAGTTGTACCTCTTTTGTTTTAAAAAGTTTAAAAATTTCTTTACATTTTTACTTGTGTTATTGACATTTTCATATTTATTTTAGAATCACTAGTGCAAAAAAGACCTTTAACGTCACCCTTTAGACGTCTGACCATCGAATATCCAAAGTAAAAAATGATCGGTGACATTTTTCGTAAATAAAACAACTATTTAGACGTTGGTTATGGAAGGACCCGACGTCTAAATACTCATATAGGTCTGCTTCCCCAAATAGACGCCAAAACTAAACAAAAAAAGTTAAAAAAAATAATTTTTTATTCTATTTAGACGTCTGTTATGGAGGGAACCGACTTCTGAAGCACTTTAGACGTCTGTTAATTGGGGGAACCGACGTCTAAACCCTAAACCCAAAAATTTAAAAAGTCACTTTTTGACTCCATTTAGACGTTTGATCCCGCCACTCCGACTTCTGAAGCACTTTAGACGTCTGTTAATTGGGGAACCAACGTCTAAACCCTAAATCCAGAAACTTAAAAAGTCACTTTTTGACTCTATTTAGACGTCTGATCCCGCCACTTCGACTTCTAAAGCACTTTAGACGTCTGTTAATTGGGGGAACCGACGTCTAAATTTTGGCATTAAAACACCGTGAATGCGAGACAGCTGTTACGACACACTCATTGTTCATCATCTTCATCGCGTTTTCTCTCTACGGGTTACGCTTTTCAGGTTCGTTTTCTCACTTTTGCACCGTTTTAAATTAATTTTACTCCGATTACATCACTCTTTGATGCATTATCTTTCATTTGAACCGATTAAAATGCGTTTTCGTTGGATTTTGGTGCAGTTATTCTCGTGTCTTTAGGCAGCTTTCTATAGCGGCGATTTCTTGCGTTTTGTACTCCTCTAATTCCCTCCACTACGTTTTTAAAACCATCCAATAAAAAAAATGTACAATACATTCTCTTCAACTAAAATATAAAGTTGTAAACTTGAATCACCATGAGTCAGGAGCAACCTTAGAGACATCTAACCTTATGGATCGGATGTCTATATAGACGTATAAGTCCGACGTCTATAGAGACGTTGGACCTATATAGGTCGGACGTCTATAGAGACGTCTGACCTAAAGGGTCCGACGTCTCACTAACGTCACCCATATAGACGTTGGACAGAGATCAGACGTTAAAAACCTAAAATAATAGAAGTCTAAAGTCCTTTTTACACTACTGAATAAGTATTTTTTGTTTTTTATTTTGTTTTAACTCTAGAAATAAAACATAGTTATTTATGTATGAATCATAAATATAGAAGATAAAGTCTAACTTTAAAAACAACTTAATTTCACTTTTATTAATTTTCATTGTAAAATATAATAATATTAGAAACTATCTTCTTTAAAATTTAAAAGATAATCCTAAATCAAAAGAGACTAAATCCACNCCGACTTCTAAAGCACTTTAGACGTCTGTTAATTGGGGGAACCGACGTCTAAATTTTGGCATTAAAACACCGTGAATGCGAGACAGCTGTTACGACACACTCATTGTTCATCATCTTCATCGCGTTTTCTCTCTACGGGTTACGCTTTTCAGGTTCGTTTTCTCACTTTTGCACCGTTTTAAATTAATTTTACTCCGATTACATCACTCTTTGATGCATTATCTTTCATTTGAACCGATTAAAATGCGTTTTCGTTGGATTTTGGTGCAGTTATTCTCGTGTCTTTAGGCAGCTTTCTATAGCGGCGATTTCTTGCGTTTTGTACTCCTCTAATTCCCTCCACTACGTTTTTAAAACCATCCAATAAAAAAAATGTACAATACATTCTCTTCAACTAAAATATAAAGTTGTAAACTTGAATCACCATGAGTCAGGAGCAACCTTAGAGACATCTAACCTTATGGATCGGATGTCTATATAGACGTATAAGTCCGACGTCTATAGAGACGTTGGACCTATATAGGTCGGACGTCTATAGAGACGTCTGACCTAAAGGGTCCGACGTCTCACTAACGTCACCCATATAGACGTTGGACAGAGATCAGACGTTAAAAACCTAAAATAATAGAAGTCTAAAGTCCTTTTTACACTACTGAATAAGTATTTTTTGTTTTTTATTTTGTTTTAACTCTAGAAATAAAACATAGTTATTTATGTATGAATCATAAATATAGAAGATAAAGTCTAACTTTAAAAACAACTTAATTTCACTTTTATTAATTTTCATTGTAAAATATAATAATATTAGAAACTATCTTCTTTAAAATTTAAAAGATAATCCTAAATCAAAAGAGACTAAATCCACTTTTATGATAAATATTTGTCACCAATAATTTTTTCAGGAATTATAATTACAAAAATGACAAAAGCTACAAAAGTTAACAAAAACTATCATATAAAATTCATGTCAATGTATAATACTCTTTTATAGGTTTTAAATACTTTGTTGATATAAAAAAAAATAGGTATCATTTATTTTAATATTAATTGTTACCTTTCTCAAAGTATAAATCATGATTACATAACATTATTGAGAAGAAGGAGTTGCATAAGAGAGCAATGGAGATGAATGATCGGAAGGAAATAGAAGGGAGAGAAAAATCTTAAACATTGCAAAAAGAATATATGAGAGAGAAGAAAAAAAAATCAGTTTTATTAGCATGGAGTTAACTCTGTTTAAGCCCATTTAACGAAAAACACATTGACACAATTTTTACAAGTTTGAAACTAAATAGATACATTTTTTAAACCAAATATTAAATAGAAATTTACCTTTTAACATGGGACGAAGTAAGCATTTAAGCCTACTTTTAATATAGTTTTTCAAAATTCCTCTTATAATTCCTCTCTTATTTAATTATATTTATCATTTAAAAGGTCCTAATTAGATTCTTCTACATAAAATAATATTATATATATATGACGAAATATATAAATTATATTCTAACTACATACCTAATTAAGCTATTTTAATAATAATTTTTTCATTATATTTGTCTATAATTTAATTATAAAATATTAATAAAAAAACAACTTTCATAGATAACATTTTTTTATTGTTTAAAATTCCTGTCACAATAACCGTTTGCTGCAGTGTTTCAGAATTTATATCACAATTTTATATTTTTCATTTAAAAGTCTTAATTACATACCATTATCTAAAATTATATTTTCTAATTTATAGATTTATAAGATATAAAATGAAACGTAATATTGACATTTCTGATTTACAAAGTAATGCAGATAATTCCATTCCAATAATTGAGCCAAAATACCGAGTATTTTCCGGCTCCTGTTTTCGATAACGTAACACCTAAACCTAATCAACTGATAGAAATCTAATTATTCTACTTTCAATATCAATTTTTACGATTTAAAAAAAAATCATATCATAATTATACAACTTTTCTTTTCCTATTTTACTCAGCTGAATTGCTCGTTTCAGTTTTTTTCATAAACTTTTACATCAGAAATACTAATTTGATTTGAACCAATTCATACAATTTAAATAGATTCATTGAATTATCCGTTACCAGGGTGTTTGATACGGAACAACATTGATCTTGCTTTATGAGTACAATTATTGAACCTGTTTGGTGTACGTGAATTGCCTTTTTACTGCCTCTGAAAACTATTACCAATCACGGTATATTATTTTAATTAATAAATTTAATATTTATATTAATTTTAAGTCTAAACATATTACATAAAATATATGTACCGCTATTTTCTTAAACTTTATTTGTTATATTTATAACAATACATAATGTATGTTAATATAGTAAATATCTCATGAGTATATTTTACTTTATAATAGTGTACTGTATGATCGTATGGTTGGACGGTCTCGATTGTAAAGAGTGACTGACGATTCATTATGTTAAACACTCAATCTAAAGCAAAGTTAACATAAAGGTCATTCGGTCTAGTATGTGTAGAGGTTGAACGGTTGATCCCAGTAGCAAAACACTTCTTAAGAAACATAAAAAATCATGGTTAGGGATAAGTATCAATTAGTGTAGTTGGTTGAGATTGGACCGTGATTGACATTCCACTAATCTTAGGTCATCTCAAAAACTATAAATAAAAGTTAAAAGTAAAGATAAGTGATCGTATTTATTATGAATTTAAGACTTTGTCCAAATTTCTTACTAACTTAAGCATCATAGTACCTTTGACATGTTTTGAAGTAAGATGAAAGAGAAGTTTGACAAAGAATAGATACAATCACCTGAACGACTCATGAGTAAAAAGGTGAAGACTTGTTGTGGAAGTAGTTGACCCTACACCCGAAACAAGTAGTACATAATAATATCTCTGTCTTTAATTATAATTTAGTTATAACAATACAATATAATCAGATTTTAATAAAAAAATTTATCACTTTCTTTTTAATAACTATCATTTTCTATAAGTTTTTGTGTTATAATTTTATTCATTAATAAAGATAAAAAAAGCGAGTTTGGTACACAAAGATAATTTTATTTATACATTATTATAGATAGTTAACTTTTCCGGTATAGTTTTCTAAGTTCTTCTTTATGGCACTTACCTTAATCAAATTTAACTATACGATCTAATATGCAAATGTATTAGTGAAAATGTTTTTTCTTCAACAATTGGAAATAAGAAAACTTCATGAACTCTAAAAAAAAAGAAAACTTCGTTTTATTCACATATAAATTGTATATAAGTGCATAGTTTTATATGAAAAAAAAAATATCCTTTACATTTCATATTATTTCTCACTAAATAGGTAGCAAATTTCCTGGCAAAGATATTTTGATAGGCATGGACATATTCTCAGAAGCAGACAGATTGCAGATACTGCCCACTGGTTTAAAATACAAGAGAGAGTTCAAACCTTTTGTAGAAGCCTCTACACTATTCTCTCTCTCAAAATCCCCTCTAGAGATAGAACAGGTCAAGAAGAAGTTACTCTCATTATGTGCTGATAATCACGGAGGCCCTTATGGAAAAATCACGACTTTTTTGTCAAACTCCCATTCAAACTGAATGAAGATGTCATGGATGATCTTCCTCCCAATCGGACACTAAACTCATTAAAGACTCAGATTCCTACAAAGTTATAGAAGAATTCTATTATCGAATGACTGGAACTTTGAAGGAATGGTATCAAAACCTAAAGTATAGCCAACTTACTTCCTTGATTGCTCTAAAAGAAGACCATATTATATAATATGAAATAGGGTGAGTAGAGGGAGACATCTAAGCCATGGAAACAACTACCGAATCACAACCCGTTCTCCTAAACTCTTCCTTATCTCTACCAGACAATAATATCTCCAGCCTGACTTACTAAGAGCACTTGGAAACTCAAACCTGCTTATGTTACAATCTCCTGCCTATAAACAGAATATAAACAGAATATAGTATCCAAGGATCATATTCGGAATTTTCTTATGCATAGGATCCTCGTATAGAGGCAAGTGCAGAGCATACTCACTCTGAGATTAGCTACTTCCTTGCCTTCTCTAATATACTAAAACCAGGACATAATAAGAAAATGATTTTCAAGAGAGAAGGGGAGAGAACTTAGAAACTCACGGTTCTTAGAAGAACTCAAAGGATTTTATTTAATAATTTTTAATAAATGCATTGTTTTTTCCAGGAACATTAATGATTTCTCCTTTTGTAACCTATCATATCACTCCCATTTTCATAATAGGATCAAATATCCGTATTTTATTATCTGCAAACACTATGGATTAATTAACATCAAATTTAAACATCATGAACAACTCCCTCTCACATATTTGAATAAATATAACAAGATTTGTACAATTATAAAGAATATCTATTTTTTTTCACCTTTTTTTTTATCATTTTTCTTCTATGTTTTTTTTTTTAATTTTCCTTTTCTCTAAACTCCTTCCCTCTTATTTTTTTTCTCTCTCATTTTCTCTTGTCACACTTAAAACATGTAATTTTCAATACTGATAAAATATTTTTTTTATCTTTATATCTTTGTTTTTTCTCTTCTCAAAATTTTCTTTATTTTTTTCTATTTGTAAAACAAACTCACAAATGCATCGAATTGAGAAATACTTTTAACACAAATATTTATCTTCAGTATGAAAATACTAGTGCTGTCAAAATGGTTTAGAATCTACAGTCAATCCGACTCACCACGGGTTCGGACTGGGTTTGAAAAAAATGAAATTTATTTTATACGGGTCAATTTATCCATTCAAGACTCTAATCTTATAAATGGATAAATGACACAAAGATTATCAATATAAACTTTTTTTTTTTGCTTTTTGGGTTTGCTTTTCGATTACATTTGAAATTATTTAAATTTAAATTAAAAAAATTATATTATTTTTGGATTTAAAAAAAAACTTGTAGTTAAGTGAGACAGTGAATCAACCCGTTTAACCCACGAACTCCTAGTCGGAATGAGTTCAAATTTTTTTGGCTTGCTAATAGATGAACTGAGTTGGATTGACTCACTAAGTGACTAACTCATGATAGACCGAGTTGGATTGGGACAGGTAACTCGTTTTGACAATACTAGACAATTCAAGTGTAAGTGGATGATTAATCATAGTATTAATAACCATAATTTGACCTTTTATATTCAATACTAATTCTCACTAAATAGTTTTTAATGTCCATGAATGCTAACTTTAATTCATATTAAATCATCATTATTTTCCATCATAAGAATGTGAATGATTCTCTTTGTAATTTTTTATCTTCTAATGTGATGTGACTACTCAACATCTTAAATAAAAGCATAATAAAAGTTAGAAAAAAAAAAATAAGTGAATCAAATACTTGTCTTTTATTAATTTTCCATTCCAAAACTAGAGTTCCTATCAACATTACTGATTGATTAATACCTTATTATGTGTTGTCCAAAGATCTCAATGAAAAACTGTATTTCAAAGTGGACAAAATAATATTTATACAATTCATTAACAACCAATTCTGATTAGAATCTTTAAAATGTTTGTCCAATTATATGACAGGGAAATCCAAATTTGTATACAAACAAACATAATATCTCTCATTCCGTTTGTTCTATGAGAAAAACATTGTCACATACTTATCCAAAAAGTGTTGGTGTATGATCCAACTTGATAGAAAAACCAACTCAAAACTTTGGTTCTCCAAAACAATACTCCTTCACAAGAAAGTTAATCAATTTTCAGGAATAGTAAAATTTAGATAGCAAGATTGGTTTACATATTCGGTACTGCAGAAGCAAAGTAATTGCCTGCAAAAGTTTGCAGAGCTTATGAATAAACTTGAAAGAGTTCATTACACACCATTAAATGAAAAAAGCATAACGCATTGCCTTCTATTTCAGATTGGTGCATGACAAATAACATTGTCACATGTCTCTCTTGACTTTTTGTCTGATATCCTGGATAAGCAAGGTCAGATCAGAATGAGAGGATCCTCCTTTCTCTACAGCTCTTTTAGCCACCTCTGCAAGTACTCTTACCCTTTTTCTTCTTTCTTCACTTTCACTACTCTCATCCATTACACTTTCTATTGCCCTTTCAATATCTTTCTTCTTCACTACCACACCAATTTCCTCTTCCTTTCCCCAGTTAATAGTACTCTTCGCACCAACCTTCACTCCAACTTTCAGTATCTGCACAACCAAATTTTCATTAAAAAATTGATCCCCAAACAGTGGCCATGAAACCATTGGCACCCCAGCACATATTGCTTCTAAGGTAGAGTTCCAACCACAGTGTGTTATGAACCCTCCAATTGCAGGGTGTGACAGTATTAGCAATTGAGGAGCCCAACCCCGAATTAGAAGGCTTCTACCATTGGTCCTTTCCTCAAACCCTTCTTCCTTAATCCACTTTTTCATTGCTTCTGACAAACTTCCTCCTCTGATAACCCAAATGAAGGGTCTTTTTGATGCTTCCAAGGCTAAGCCAAGCTCTATCAATTGTGGCGATGTTAAATTGCATAGGCTTCCAAGGGATGCATAAATCACAGTCCCTGGTTGCTGACAATCAAGCCAACACTTGAGGTGGCACTCGTCAATTGAAGCCCTGTTACCTCTTTCAGCCTTGTCCAAGTGATCCTTGTTACTAAGTGACAGTGGTCCAATACACCATACTTTATCATTACTGATCTTCTTGTATTCCCTTGCATATGCTGACTCCAACTCTTCAAAAGAATTCACGATTGTCCCATACGTAGCAACACTAGCTGCACCATATTCATCAAAAATTTCTTTCCATCTTTCATCCGTTAAGTGTTCTGTTTGAGCTTTGGTTATTTCAATTTTGTCAGAGAAACCAGGCAAAACAAAATACTCCGATTCAGCAGCTTTATTCTCCATCATATTGTTAGTTTGTAAAGTGTGCAAACATAGGAGAAAGAAGTAACTTACAGCGGCAAAACCAATCCTCGAAATATTGAATCTTTTGGCTATGTGTGTTGTATATGGCAAACCCATATCAGAAATTATGCAACTTGGTGCTGGTGTTAGCTCTTCAAATAATTTTTCCACCGGTTGCCATGAAATGTTTGCTGCACTGAAAAAGCGAAACCCCATTCCGAGTGTAGGCAGCATATCAAGATTCTCACACTCTTCTGGTAATCCAAACTCTTTACTTGGAAAATGAACTTTAGCTACTCTGATCTGAAACCCCGCTTCAGTATAGCGGTGAACGATTGATTCAAAACGAGCTGCGTTATGTGCTGTTGTGACTACTGTCACAATAACGTTGTGTTGCACCAACACTTTTGCAAAGTCCATCATAGGGATCAAGTGGCCTTGTGCCATGAATGGGAATAGTACGAAGTGAAGCTGTGGTTCTTGGGAAGCCATTCTTTTACTGTGAATTCACCTCAACAACAGAAGAAATTGAAAGATGAATACGAGTTTTCACTTGAATCATTTTCACACGTCTTAATAGGCCAAATATTGGTGACGTAAGCGCCTACGTAGACATCTTTGGATTATCTTTTCAAGTTTTCTTCACTCACGGCGAGTCGAGTCATGTTTATCTGATCTTCTTCCGTAATACATTACTGTAGTGAAAATGGTTTTGACTTAATTGCGCTGAGAAAAACTAGTATCCTATTAAAACAATGTTAACGATAAGGATAATTTCTACTTTGGTACTTCGATCTCTCCAAACGGGTAATCCAACTTGATCCGACTCATTACGGGTTGATTATTTAGTGAGTTAATTTAACTCTATTCACTTATTTAAAAGCTAAAAAAATTCGAATCCGATTTGACCTATCACGAATTGATGGATTAAATGGATGAGGTCACTAACTCACTTAATTATAAGTTGTTTTTAAAATAAAAAAAATTATAATTTTTTTAGTTCAAATCTAAATAAATTTCATTATAAAATGATGTTAAATTTTAAAGACAATTCAAAATAAATAAAAAATCATATAATTCAACGTAATCCAAAAACAAGCACAAAAGACGAACAAATAAGTCTTTAATATTAATAATTTTTGTATCAGTGTCCATCTATAACATTAGAGTCTTCAATAGATAAATATGTAATATTTTTCTTTTTTGAAACATTTTTTATCTCATCTACAATATAATAAAAAAATGTTAACTAATAATATTGAAACACAAAATAATAAATAATTAAATTAAATTAGGTGGATTGGTGAGTCACCCGACTCACCCACTCACCACGGTTTCAATCCGGATGAGTCGAATTCTAAGCGAATCGGGTTGAAAACTAATCTATATGAAAAAATTACATTTTTTTCAAACTCAACCGGACTCAAACCCGTAATGAGCCAGATTAGCTTGAGGATTACAACTTATTTTGACAGTAGCGAGAGTAATAGAAAATAAATAAACCATCTATGCACCTGATCCATGATAACATAACAATAAAGTTTAGATGATATATGTAATAGAAATTAAGTTTACATAAATAATAGATTTAATTAATTTTTTTTAAATAATCAACGAACGTATTATATTAAATATATTATTTTTATTAACTATAAAATTTCATATTTGACAATCTATTAATAAAAATAGAAACTCAAAATTTAATTAAATTTTAATAATATTATAATATATATTGGTATGTTAAATAAAAAATTAAATTAAAATATTAATATTTTAGGTTATTAATTTATTTTATAAGTGTCAATGTAATAAAATGAGTTGTGGAGTAGGAGAGATGTTAAGAATCACTGTCCTATTCGTTTATCATCACCATAAAACGAAATTAATGATTCAAATTATCATTTCTTATATTCTATTTTGGACCCGTAAATTATCAGTTGAAAGAAAAATTTTAAGGGTTGAAACCAATGTGCTTGGTTTGACATAAAATGAAAATGACATCTCCCCCTCAGCTAATTTGCATTCATCTAGCTGCTGTTAATGTCAAGAAATTCAATTAATTTGCGGGAATTCTAAAAATTAGAGAGAAATGGTACTACTGAAAAAGAAATAACTGCCTAAAAAGTTGTATTGATTTGCAAAACATGCGGAAATTTGGAAGAAGTTAAGAATACAAATCATAGATAATTAAGTGCAAAACTACGAGGTTGATAATGAAGTGCAAAAGTACGAGGTTGCTCCTTTTATTACAAATCAGTATGCTAGTATCATACTTTTTGTTTGATCTTTTGCGCTATATCTTCGATAAGCAAGGTGGCATTAGAATAAGAGGATCCTCCTTTCTCTACAGCTCCTTTAGCCATTTCTGCAAGCTCTCTCACCCTTTTTCTTCTTTCTTCATTCTCGCTTGTCTCATCCATTAACTTTACAATTGCCCTTTCAACATCTTCTTTCTTCACCAACACACCAATTTTTTCTTCTTCTCCCCATGTAACAGGACGATCCACTCCAACCTTCACTCCAACTTTTAATACATCCACGGCAAGACTTTCATTCAAAAACTGGTCTCCAAAAAGTGGCCACGTAGCCATTGGAACACCAGCACATATTGCTTCTAAGGTAGAGTTCCAACCACAGTGTGTTATGAACCCTCCAATTGCAGGGTGTGATAGTATTAACAATTGAGGTGCCCAACCTCGAATCAGAAGGCTTCTAGAACTTGTTCTTTCCTCAAATCCATTTTCCTCGATCCACTTTTCCAATTCCAATGATTCTGAATAACTTCGTTCCCTGATAACCCAAATGAAGGGTCTTTCTGATGCTTCCAAGGCCAAACCGAGCTCTATCAACTGTGGTGCTGTTAGATTACACAGGCTTCCAAAGCATGCATAGATTACAGTTCCTGGCTTTTGACGATCAAGCCAGCAACTCAGTTGGCACTCCTTAATTGAGGCAATCTGACCTCTTTGAGCCTTATCCAAGTGATCCTTGTTGCTAAATGATAGTGGTCCCAAACACCACAGTTTATTGTTTCTCATCTTCTTGTATCCCCCTGCATATGCTGGCTCCAACTCTTCAAAAGAATTCATGATCATCCCATATGCTTCCATTTCAGCTTCAAACAATTTATTAGTGACCAGTCTCATGCCTTCAGTCATCGCCATTCCTGTCTTAGCTATGTTCATTTCAATTTTGTCAGGTATACCAGGCACAACAAAGTACTCCGATTCGGTAGTTACGCTCTCCATAACATTATGGATGCGTATGTTAGACATGCAAAAGAGATAGAAGCAACTTACACCCACAAAAGAAATCCTGGGAATTTTGAACTTTTTAGCAATGTCGTTTGTATATGGTAAGCACATATCGGAGATGATGCAGCTTGGTGCCGGTGTTAACTCTTCAAACAGTTTTTCAGCTGGCTGTCGAAGAAAGTTCGTTGCATTGAAGAAATCAGCGGCCATGCCCAGTGTAGGTATGGTATCGAGATTCTCGCATCCATCTGGTACTCCAGCTTCTTTGCATGGGAATTGAAGTTGAACTAATCTGATTTGAAACCCAGATTCAGCATAACGATCAAAGATGGATGTGAAACGAGCTGCATTATTAGGTGTTGTGACTACAGTGACAATAACATTGCGTCTCACCAATATTTTTGCAATGTCCATCATGGGGATCATGTGGCCTTGAGCCATCAATGGAAACAAGACGAAGTGGAGTTGCTGTTCTTGGGGAGCCATTCTTGTTGTGGAATGGTATGGTGCAATGGATTCACTTCAACTATTGCTTATTTATTTATAAACGAGTGTCATGCATCGCTCTGTTGATGTAATTACGTAAATACCTTGGATTATGAGATAGTAAGCATTGCAAATTGCGTTACGTTTTGTCTGTTTTGGATTAGCATCTTCTGCTGAAACAAATGCATTAAGTTGGAAAGTTTTGTTGCTACGTTGTGCATAGTATGTTTTTATCATGATGTCGGATTCCTTTGTCCATATGGATGCCAAGCCGGCCATGAGAGGCTTGGTTGGTGAGAGAATAATGTCCATTTTGACGAGTGATATAATTAATGCATGTGTGCTTTCACCAAGATTTACCTTAGTAATAATACCAGTTCATTGCTTTATTATTCAATTATTACATTCAGATTCATTTATGTCATCTTATCTCTCACCTTTTAAAATAGAAAATATTTTTTAACAATTTTTTTTACAACTTTTTTTTATAATCTATGTGATAGTTCTTTTCAAATATACATATTAATCATGATAAATTATTATCAAAAAATTATTAAAAAAAGTTATTAACATATCTTAGTTCTTTTCAAATTTATAAAATAATAAAAAATCTATCAATAACAAACATATATATATATATATATTTTGAAAATAAATATTTATTACCTTCATCATTAATTTTTTAATTAATATTTCCTCATTAGAATAATTAATTAAACATTAAAAAAAGTGGAGATTAAAATTCATGTAAATAATTATGTTGTTTTAACCATATTTTATACTATTCAACAAGTTAATTGTTAATTTTAATCGATTAATTAGTTAAATTATTTTAAAAAATTAATATCGGATTACTTTTTTCTATATTTTATAAATGAAAAATAGTAAAAAATATAATTGCATCGCTATACGTACAATTTACTTTGTATTATGAGACAGTGCATTGGAGATTTCCTTGCCTTTTGTCCTTTTGGTTTTGATAAAATATACGAAATTGGAAAGTTCGATCACATAACATCAATGTACCTTTTGTATTGCAAGCCGGCTTGAGAGTCGTAATTATGTTTAGAATAAGGTTAGGTAAATGTTGGATAGGATAATGAAGTTTACTTGTTAAATTTTGTAGTGCATCCTAAGTTGATATTTTTAATCAATATACCTTATATAATGAGTATAGTTATTTTAATTATTAATTATTGATATTTTTAATCAATATCGCTGATCCAATAAATATAGGTATTTTAATTATTTATTATTGATAAGGTGAATACTAATGTTATATATTTAACTTTAGGATATTAAGCATATTTGGATATTTTAAAATGTTAAGTAATAAAAATAAAATTATTATTCAAAAACTATAAATTATTAAATAATTATTTACAATTTAATTTATATATGTATATTTTTATTTAAATTTATAAAATTGAAATTATTTTCAGAAGATTAATTTTATTAAACATTTATTTTATGGTTTAAATTATTTGAATTTTTATTAAAAAGATCAATTTTTATTTTCCGAAATCAGGTAATTTAATTTGAATTATATTTTGATATCAATTTTTTATACGACTTTAAGTTTTAAAAATTGATTATAAATTATTAAAATAAAAAATATTTGTTCATAGTTATAGATATTTCTAGATTTTTTAAAAAAAGTATTTGACTAATAATAATAATAATAAGATGAGTAATAAGATAAAATATTTATCCGCTACTTGTCCGTTACATCTGTACGTTAATGTCATGCCAAATAGATAAAGATTTATACAAAACCATCTTTTT